GCAAGCCGAGGCTGCCAACAAGGTCATCCTACAGGGACTTAAGCACAGATTGGGCGAGGCAAAAAGGGGGTGGGTTGAGGAACTACATAGCGTCTTATGGGCTTACCGCACCATACCCCATTCGACGACGGGCGATACCCTTTTTCGACTAACATACAGCACCGAAGACGTCATCCCCATAGAGATCAGGGAACCCTCCAGGCGGACAGAGATGCCTCTTGATGAAGAAATGAACGACGAAGCCCTTAGGGATGAACTCGACCTGGTCGAGGAAATTCGATCAGGGGCAGCCCTACGCGAGGCCGCTCTGAAACAATGAGTAGCCCTGCGTCACGACGACAAGGTCATCAGACGTGAGTTCCAGATCGGTAGCCTAGTATTGCAAAGAAACCAGAAAGACTCCCGCGAAGGGAAATTGGCCGCAAACTGGGAAGGACCCTACCACGTTCAAGGCGCTACGGGTACCGGAGCGTATTACCTCGAGCAGTTAAACGGAGAACCATTACCACGACCCTGAAATGCTGCAAAGCTGAAACAGTACTATAGCTAAAGCCCTCAACCACCGCGGACTCTTGCCGTCAGACATTTCACCCTCAGCCAACGAGGGGAAAGTCTCGACCATGTAGGCGAGTCAAGGTACGAACCCGACCTACCAACCACTGAGCAGCACGCCGTTGTTCACCCAATGAACCAAACTTCAATGCCCGACAGGGAAACCTCGATCGAGCTCCACTGTTGAAGTACCCACAAGGCAGAACACCCAGCTCGCGATGGGCAGTTCACGCCACGAGCGTAGGACCCCGATCCGGGTCATACGTCTGACACGCGGGTCCTACTCTGCTCAATCGACGCACTCCGAAGTGTGTCAAACCATCAAAGGGGTCGAAAGGATATCTCCGCTCGAGCACAAAACCTTATCAAACTGTTCATTACAAAAATAACAGTCAAGCATACGCCTAGATACGAGCAGCTAATTGCAAAACAAACATCCATCGAAAAAACATGCATAAAACGGATTAATGGTAAACCGACCAAGAAGGTCGGCGGTGTTCAAATTTACAATCCATGGCATAATGGCCAAAAGAAATCAAGAATAAGCACGGGCACACAGGCCCCAAAAAATGAACACGGGCACGCAGGCCCAAAAAAAAAACAAATAAAAACCAATACACAGGCACGCAGACCCAAACAATAACTAGATGCTAAACATCCCTGGGATTACTGGCGTCCACATCAGGAGACTCGAGAGGAGGAACAACCTGGCCGTCAATAATCTGGGACAGAAATCCGACTCCCTCGGTGTTCATGCCCGGATCTAGGACGGACAGCTGACTCACTGCAGCCTCGAACCCGTCGGCTAAAGCACCAACGCAATTTGACTCGAGGAGGTGGATACGAGCAACCAAATCTGAACGTGTGCGCAAAGAGGCTATCTCCTCTGGCTCGTCATCAGCAGGAAGCATATCAGCTTTCAGCTTCTCAATCTCCTTGGACAATCGTTGGTTGTCGCTCTCCAGCCATTCCTTGTCAAGTTAGAGGCAATCCCTCTCCTCGAAAGCCTTCTCGACCTTCTCCTTCTCCCCCGACAGTAAGTCGGCCTGTTCACAGAACATCTCCTAGGACCGCTCGAGGGCCGCCTTCAACTTGCGAGATTTGGATGCAAAAGCCGCCTTCTCCGATTTCAACTCCCTAACCCGGTCCGAAGACTCTGATCCTTCCCCTGCAAGGACCACAACCATCTCGACCATTTTCACCACACCGACCATACTAGCGGCGAGGTGTTTCCTCTGACCCTCCTTGTCGAGCCACTTAATGATGTCAGCCTCGTTATCAGATACGGTCAGGGGAAACCCCTCGAAGAAATCCTTCTCCGCGAAGCAAGGCGGTAAACCAAAAGCCCGGGCAGTTGAGAGCTCATCACCAGTTTCCGCTCCGACCGACTTCTCTTCCTGCTAACCAGCTCAGTCTGTTGCTCAGCGCATGGAGAACCCGAGGACCCACTGGATCCATCTCTGCCCGAATCAGCGGGCGGGCCCATCCTCGTGGCCTGCTGCGGTCTCACCAGTCTTTTACTTTTTATCCTGGGTCAACTTCAGCAACCTCTCTCGACGTTCCGCCATGTGACCTGCAAGAAGAGAAAACCAGGGTTAGCTACAAACGATTGAAGGCAATTAAAACGAAATAACGATAAAGGCAAAAGCAAGAAACCTAGAAGATCTACGGCCTATCCGTAGGATTGACATTCAACGAGCGCCTTGGTATTGATAGGGCGCGCCTCGAACGTCGGGTAGCCATCCTCGTCGTGAATGTCGTCCCCGTCCCTCGTGACCCACCGAGCGGGGAAAAACCCATCAACAAACTTACAAAGGACGACATAAGCCTCCTCATCCTCAGCGCTCATGCTCCCCGCATGGGTGTGATAGTGCCCGGGACCATGGTCATAATGACCCGAACAACAATGAATAGGGAACCTGGAGACCCGCCCGACTGCAGGACTACCGTCAGCATCCAAAATAGGCTCCCCGTCCTCGTCGACCAATGTGGCCGGCTCGAACAAAGAATCCAGGGCCGTCTGGGTGGTCGGCTGCAGTATGTACCATTTGTCTTTAAAATCCCTCACCGAGTCCATATACATCCTAAACAGTCTCTTCGACTGCTTAAGAGATACCCAGTTGTGTTTGCCTCCTCGAGACTGGCGTTGCAGATGGAAAACCCTGAAGAACAGGGGAATTGACGCCCCAATTCTCAAGAAACGGAAAGTTAGCTCGAACGCCCGGAGAAAGGCGATCACGTTGGGGTGGAGTTGCGAAGGGGCCAGATTTAGATGATTGAACACCCCAACCTAGAAGTCGCTAAAAGGCAACCGAAGACCAAGATCCTTGAAAACAATCTCATACATGGGGAACACATCCTCAGTGAACTCTGAGCAGATGCGAGCGTCACTCGCCGGCCTCATTATTTTAAAATTTCGTTGAAACCTTCTTGAGTGCCGCCGTACTCGACGACGGTATAAGCTCGTCGGCTGCGATGGCTGTACGCTGAAGCAATTCCCCGGGGCTCAGCGCCCACCCAGTCTAGTGTGTGGTCGTCGACGGTGTCGACCAGAGTAACATTCTCCTCTGTTGTGCTTGCGTCCTCGACATTGTTCCGTCCCGAGGACTCTGGGATGTCAGCCATTTTCCTGCAAAGTACAGGAAACCGGTGAATTCGACGGCAAATCCATGTGCTCGCCACAAAGGCAGGGAGAAGTAAGCAATGCTCAGTTTGAAACTACGGCCCTGCGTGAGGAAAATGAGAAACGAGTGGATCTCGACCAAACACCGACACCCCAACGCTAACCACGCATCAATCATGAATGGCACGAGCGTAACACGAGCGCCTCGGGCGAAACTTAAATTACGCGACCAAGTTCATAATTTCGCTTACTCAACGCAGAACACTGCAAGGAGACTACCCTACATACCACCTAAAAGATGAACGTCCCGGTCAATCTCATGACTCTACCGACCAAACACATGAGTATCACGGGCAATCTCATGAATCATATGCCTAAAATTATGAGCATCCCGAGCACATCCATGAATCAGGCGCCCAACGTGCTTAAATCTACCAGGCATAACTTCCAAATACAGGTTTTTATTATCAAAAATGTCATCAAAACTATCTACAACACAAGGAAGCAGGAAGGAGGGATACTTACTTGGAAAAAGAGGAGTTGAAACAACGATGGTGAGAGTAATCAACGGCGAACAGTGTGGCGGTCTCAACGATGTTACAGAACCAACGACTGTAAAAACAGAGAAAGCAAGATGAGCGTGAAGAGGAGAAACAGACTATGGGGCCCAAGGATCCTATTTATAGAGATGACGTGGAATGTGAAACGTCGCACCGGGGAGCCACGAACCGCCCCCGTCCTCAACACCTACCCACCTAGGCAATAATGACCCTATTTACTAGGGCGGCGTTGCAATTTCCAAGGACTACGCCACGTGTCTGACAGACGCATCTTACGCATCCCCGTGAGCATTCCTCGAGCACGCCTCGAAAGGGAAAGCCCCAAGTCGGGCATGAGGCCCCCGCGAGAAGAGAAAACTGAGATTAAGTCATAACTCCTGTGCTAGGAACAACGACTTGGGGGGCTCCTGTTCTGGACTGGGCCTACCTTAGCCCAAAACACCAGTAAAGGCCCAGATCCAAGTAGTTTCTCGAGCTATGCTCAAGGAACAGACCACCCCGAGCATACCTGAATATAGGTTACAACGGTTATGCCCGCCGCTACCGCAACGATCAGCGTCCCCGACCAAGGATACTCCAACTCGAGCCTTGCTCGAGCATCCTCCCCGTAGGGCAGACTCAACCCCCTCCGGATGCTGCGAAATCCTCAGAGCTCCGAGAAGACCGCGTCTTCGTTCCTCCTCATTCTTCACAGAGCACCATCCAGGAAGGGGACCACGTGCGGGTCCCCACTACACACATAGAACCTGACAGTCCCTTTGTTGGGCCAGTTCTGATCGGCCCAATAAAGGGACCTTGGCCCAGCGCTGAGGGCTATAAATATCCTCTGTTCCAAGAGGGTCAGATATTCATTTTGTTACGCACCTACATACTATTTGCCTGCTCATTCCGTCTCTCATTTTGTCATCGAAATGCCTTGCAGGTACCCTCCATCTCACTCAAATTCAGTTCGAGCCAGCTGTGACGGTCCAATTCTGACCCGGTAAGATCAAAAAGGAAATGACAAAATAAATACTACGAAGAACTTTAATTTTAGTGACTAAATAATAAATGATAGATATTTATTAAATAAAAACTAAAGTGAAAACATAAAGTATAGTTAACTAAGTTTAAATTTTTTTTAGATTTAAATAAAGTTAAAATAACATTGTTTGTCAACCATATTTCCATTATGTAAACCGATCGAGTATCAACCAAAGCACACTGTTCTTCCCCAAACAGAATGGCACCATCACATTACAAATCTGCAAATTCCAAAATCTGAAATGAAAACAATGGACAAAGACATATCAAACTGGGTCATGGAGTTTCTCCTTCGAAGCTCCGTACCCGATTCCCTCATCCAAAAAACCCTAACCGTTCTTCCACTTTCCGGCGCCGATTCTCGCCTCAAACAAACCCTCCTCCTCCGCATCCTCCAAACTCACCTCCACCACGCCTCCCTCTCCGAAACCTCCCTCCAAATCATCGAGCACCTCGAGGAGCTTTACCGCAGAGACGGGGTTCCTGTCCCCGCGGTAATGCGCAGTGCTTATTGCGCTGTTGCTGTTGAATGTACCGTGAAATACCTAATTACATCTCATGAGGATCCGTCCGGAGAATATATTTCCGCTATTCGACGGATCTGGCGTGGCCGGGTTGTTCAATTGTCGGCAGAGGGACGTCGGAGTGAGCTTTTATCGGACGAGTTGACGCGTTGGGGGGAAGACATTGAAGCGGCGCTTTGGGATGTTAGGGTTTCGGAGAGGCTTGCGAGTTTGAATACACGGAGAGACGCTATGAATGAAGTTAAGAGGTTTTTGAAGGATGCGTGGCAAGTTATGGGACCTTCGTTTCTTGATTCGATGGCAATGGGTTCGAAAGGGAATGGTTTGGGTCCTGAAGGTGTTTGTGGAAATGCTTCGGGTAGTGAAAAGATGAGAAAGAGTGATGCAAGGTTAGAGAGTTTGGGAAAGGAGAAAATGTGCTCTGTTGGAGATGATAACAATGATAATGATAATGTTGATGATGATGGTGGTGATGATGATGACGACGTGGAAGTGATGGGTGAAGACCATGGCAATGAAGGATTTGAAGAGAGAGTTGGTACTTCTGTTGATGCAAATCAGGAAGTGGGTGGGTGTGATTCTTCAAATGTAGATAAAGGTGTGTTTTTTATTTTGTTTTTTATTTTGTTTTTTTTGTTTCAATCCCTTCAACACAACACTTTGAGGGTTGTAAAGTTTTGATTTTGTGTTATAAACTTTGATTGTTTGCTTAATCAAACAAGTTTTGATGATACAAATTATGACACTGCCCAAGAGTTGCTATTTGATTATTGTTTATATTCTCTTAACCGTATCTCTCTCCAACAGAAATCTGGGAAGACAATGTTCGGCTCAAACACAAGCACTCTGCACTACGAACATGCCATAGGGGAGTTAAAATCTCTGGTACTGAGGAAGTGAGGCCAACAAATTTATCGAGTAAATATAAAATCTTGCCTAGTCCTGAAGTAAATAAAGTTCGGGAATCCCTTAAATCAAGTTCTATGGAGTTAAAGGCATTGGTCAAGGATCCTCTTCCCGATGCATTGCGATCATCTGAAGATGTAAGATCCAAATTGGCAACAAAACATATAAATCCTGGGTCACCCTGTGAAAATCAGAATGGACATGTAGATGTGCGACATTCAGATGGATCGAAAACTATTGTACTCTATCAGCCTAATGATGCCAATCCTGCAAAGAAGTCTTCTGTTCCTTGTAGTAATGATCGTGGCCCCAACTTTATGGGACGGGCAAGTTCTGCTCATACTTACGAGGTAATAATCTATGATCTGGTCTAATCTGGGGGTAGATTCTTTATTATATTCATACGTTCTTAACAAGGGCCTAAAGGATGGCATCTTGTAAAAAATATTTTTTCATTAAAAATGCTTGACGTCTCTTGGTGGAAATTCTTTCAAAAGATATGGTTGCGAGCGGTAAAGAAAGCTTTCATTACTGCTACTTGTTGAACCACGGTTCCCCACCAGATGCAGTGGCTTGTGGATTCTGAAGATGTTCACCCCGAAAGAGTTTTTTCTTTCTTTCTTGTCATTTAGATGTTAAGAGTCTCTTGTTTTGTTGGTTTCTTTCAGTTGTTGCGGTGTTCGCTTATACTTGTATGTACTTTCAATTGGGCACTGAGTCATTAGTTATTTTCTTCTTTATGCAGTTGGATGATTCAATAGATAACTCACTGCAAGCAAGACAGCCAAGAAGGAAGAAAAGGAAATGGACTTCATTGGAAGAGGAGACACTAAGGGCTGGTGTAAAAATGTATGTTTTTTTCTTCAAAACTTGTCAAATCGTAAATTTCCTAGTGAACTATCATGGATACAAGTTATACATGAAATGGAAGGTTAATGACTCTTGTGACAGCGTATGTTTATTAACTATGTTTCTTATTCAGGTTTGGAGAAGGAAACTGGAGAACAATTAGAGACTTTTACAGCAACATATTCGAATATAGAAGTGGGGTATGCAATCTATACACCAAAAACTTTGTGTTGCTGCTTTCGGGACTCATGCTTTCATTAACACTTCAATTTTTATCATTTAAAGGTTGATCTAAAAGACAAGTGGAGAAATATGATGCGGTGACACAGAGGAGTTACTTAAATTTCCATGTGTATATATCTCAGGAAGGTATTATTTTCTTGCATCTGTCCTGTGAATTTGTATTTCTATAGACTATGGATTGATTGGTTTGGTAGTTTTATTAACATTTTCTGCTTCATTCTAGCCTGGTTCTTTCTGTTTTAAAGGAAAAGAGAGGTAGAAGGCCATCTTTAGTTGTGAAACTCTCACCTGGTGAACTGAAAAAAATCAAAAGGCTCAATATTCTCTTTAGTTGTGAAACTCTCACCTGGTGAACTGAAAAAAATCAAAAGGCTCAATATTCGGCTTATTATGAAAAAAATGATAAACTTTGGGAAATTAGTATATATAAATGAATATTTAATGATTTACTCTCAAATATCAATCATTTACAGTCTAGTTAGTTTCCCTCAACAAAAAAAATCACTATAGTTAGTTTTAGTGAAAAGTCATGTTTTGCGGTATTTTCTTTTATATTTCGTCTTGTACAGCATTAAGCATTACCTTTTTAAATAACTAGTGTGAGTGTTTCCCTGCTACTGCTAATCCCTTGATCTGACCCATTAGTGTTGCTTTGCTCTTAATCAAGTGTAAGCAATGGAGCAAACCAAAAACCTTCCATGGAATATTGGTAGATGGCTAATGGCGGACTCTTGACAGCCACAAAATAACTTTAAAATAAGGGAATATTTTAACAACTTATATTAAGAAAAATAAACATAACTGAAACATTTGTAGGCACATCAAACTTGTTTGCAGTTTACAAACATTGATCTAGTATATAATGCAATAGAAAGGAAGACATAGTGTGGGTATTCTTGATCCTGGGCCTCATGGTTTATGGTTGAAGAGAATTAACTGTTCAGGACTTTTTGGCTTTAGGTGTTGGGCGAGATGGGTGATAGATAGGTGAATTCTTGTGAGAACATTAAGGTATTTACAAACTGAGACTTGTGAAAACCAAGAGGACTTGCCATATTCTTGAGACAAATTCTAAAATAACTCCCGAAACACAGGGCAGGCTTCATGACATACTGCCATGGTCAGAAAAGCTTCAGTGGCACTGCAATCACGAAGCAGTGATGCCACTAGCCTTTGGTGGTGTTTTGCTTAAATTTTGCCAAACTTTACCATCAAGGTGCTGTTTATTTATAATAGTGAACTGCTTATTGAAACATACAGCGCTTGTGATATTGAAACATACAGCGCTTGTGATATTGAAACTTAAAATGAAAAATAGGACATTGGTATATGACCTTTGATGGAATCTTCTGGTTCTGTGATCATGGATGACCGACCATTGAAAGTGTTTTGCCAGTTCCTGGTCTCTCTCCTCCTTGGTTCTGTTAAGAACCCACAGTACTTAATAACACAGAATAAAGAGATGGCCAGCAGAATGATTGTTTATTAATGATAAAATTGGAAAATACAGAGAGGGAAATGACCCTTAAATCTGACACAGAGCAAAAGCTCCTGTAGGTGGCTAAAGCCTCCTATTCATATCTAACAACTTAATTCTTCCAAGGTAATCCTCTCAACCTCTCTTCTATTCCTTATAAAGTGGAAAGATTCCAATCATTCTCTCACCTCCACTGCATAACAGAATTATCTCTCAATTTCCATTTTTGCCCCTTCAGACTCTCCATATTATGGGCCTATGAGTGTTATGATGCACAAGAGGTACTCCCCCTCCACTATAAGTCACGTGGTTCCTATCAATACTCCCTTCTGAAACTGTAACCTTGTCCTCAAGGTTGAATGTTGGAAATTGACTCTTAATAGTAACTACATCTTCCCAAGTCGCTTCATCAACACTCTTCCCCTTCCATTGCACGAGCCACTGTTGTATCTCTTCACTGTGTTGCTTGATAGTACGAGCAACCAACACCTTCTCAGGTTCCAACACTTCAACATCTTCTCCATCTAATTGATCAGGTAATTCACTCTCATCTTGATAATCCCCTACTGCTTTCTTGAGCAAAGAAATGTGAAAAACTGGATGTATCTTTGAGCCTGTGATAGAAACCACGTGACAGAGGATGAGACAAATGAGGTTATGATTTATCATCAGCCCAATGGGCCCAAGGTATGGAGAGTATATTCTAGAAGGGGCAAAAAGGGAAAAGAGCAATAATTCTGTTAGAGTGAGCAGTGGGAGAATGATTGTACGGTACCACTACATAAGGAATGGATGAGAGGATTACCTTAGAAAATATTCTGTTTGTTTAGTCATGAGTAGGAGGCTCTAGCCACCTATAGGAGCTTGCTCTGTGTCAGATCTAGGGTCATTTCCCTTTCTGTAATTCCACTTTTTATCAATTAATCAAACAATCACTCTATTCGGTGTTGGATACCTTTCTTTTCTCTTATTATTTTCTGTCTGTGCTTGTTGGGTTCCCAACAAATTGGTCCGACCTACCGGATATTTCGACGATAGAGCCAGTGAATGCCACCTAAGAAGGTGACGTTTCCAGCATTCACCAAGATGGAAGCTAGGGTTGGTGTTCTAGAGAGCGAGATTTCGGAGGTACGTTCTGCTCTCGAGGGGGTGCAGAATACGGTGACAACAAACCACTCTAATTTGATGGCAATGTTGGAAAAATGCTTGGGTAGGACGTTGACGGTGGATGACGGAGACACGAGTTGCTCTGTTAAAGGTACGCCGGTAGTGACAAAAAAGGGTGAACCACAGAGTACAATTGTCAACAATCTTCGTGGAGATGCTTTGACGGAGTTTCGTCAGTCCGTTAAGAAAGTTGAACTTCCGATGTTTGACGGTGAGGATCCAGCGGGATGGATCTCACGAGCAGAGGTCTATTTTAGGGTGCAAGACACCTCACCGGAGGTAAAGGTGAACTTGGCACAACTGTGTATGGAGGGTCCAACTATTCATTTCTTCAATTCTCTCCTGGATGAAGATGATGTTTTAACATGGGAAGTGTTGAAGAGTGCGCTCTTGGAACGATATGGTGGAAACGGGGATGGTGACGTTTACGAACAACTTTCGGAACTACGTCAGAAGGGGACGGTTGAGGAGTACATCACAGATTTCGAGTATTTAATGGCTCAGATCCCAAAATTATCTGACAAACAATTCCAAGGATACTTTTTACATGGCTTGAAGAGTGAAATCCGTGGAAAGGTACGAAGCTTGATGACGGTGGGTGGTATGACACGAGGAAAGCTTTTCCAAGTTTCACGCGCCGTAGAGAAAGAGGTTAAGGGAGAGATGGGTTTGAGCTATAACCGGGGATCCAAATCATATGGGTCGGGTTATAAGTCCAACAATAATGGAGCGGGTCGTCAAAGAGGGTCAGATTGGGTTTTTGTAAAAGGAGCCCAAGAACGTGGAACAGGTAACAATGACAAAAACCATGTTGGACCAAAGAGGGATAGGATGAGCCCTAATGAAGTAAAGAGACCTGGGCCACGAGACAGAGGTTTCTCACATCTTACATACCCCCAGTTATTGGAAAGAAAACAAAAAGGTTTATGCTTTAAATGTGGTGGGCCTTTTCACCCTATGCATCAATGCCCAGACAAGCAGTTGAGGGTGTTAATAGTAGAAGAGGAAGAAGATCCAAGAGAAGGAAATATTTTGGCGGTGGAAGTAAATGAAAAAGATGTCGAAACTGATGGAGAGATGAGTGTTATGAGCCTGAATACCTTCATCACATCCAGCCGCGAGCAACCTTAAACAATCAAGTTCCAAGGGAAGATTCAAGGCATGCCGGTTTTGATTTTAATTGATAGTGGAGCGACGCATAATTTTATTGATCAAAGACTGGTGCGGAGAATGGGTTGGGAGATTGTGGACACACCCGACATGTCAGTTAAATTATGGGATGGTTTCCAAACCACGACTAAAGGGCGTTGTAAGAAAGTAGAAGTAGAGATGGGAGAAGTTAAGATTGAATGCACTCCACATTTGTTTGAATTAGGGGGTCCTGATTTAATCTTAGGAATTGAATGGTTGAAAACTCTTGGAGACACTATTGTAAACTGGAACAAACAGACTATGAATTTTTGGAGTAGAGGAAGGTGGATTACATTACAGGGACTGAGGAGCAAGATTGATAAGGAGGAAGCTTTACAAGGTTTGTTGAGCAGGAGTAGAGTCAAGAATGAAGGAGTGTTGTGGACCATTCACAAGACCCAAAAAGATGTGATAGAAGCCCACTTGTCTGTAGATCAACAACAGGAGCTACAAAAGGTGTTGAATAATTATGTAAGGGTGTTTGAAGAGGTGGTCGGGTTACCTCCTAGCCGGAGGAGGGAACATGCAATTAACATTCGTGAAGGAGCAGGTCCTGTCAATGTAAGGCCTTATCGTTACCCCCACCTTCATAAAAATGAAATAGAGAGACAAGTTCAAGAGATGCTGGAAACCGGAATCATTAGGCACAACTCAAGTGCATATTCCAGTCCTGTCATACTTGTGAGAAAGAAGGATCACACATGGCGTATGTGTGTGGACTATCGTGCTCTTAACAAGGTGACAATCCCGGATAAATTCCCAATTCCGGTGATTGAAGAATTGCTAGATGAGTTGCATGGTGCACGGTATTTCTCCAAATTGGATTTAAAATCCGGATACCATCAAGTTAGAGTAAAGTGTGAGGATGTGCACAAAATGGCGTTCCGGACACATGAGGGGCATTATGAATTTTTGGTTATGCCATTTGGATTGATGAATGCTCCATCAACTTTTCAAGGATTAATGAATGAAGTGTTTCGATCAATGTTGAGAAAAGGGGTGTTGGTGTTTTTTGATGACATCTTAATATATAGTAAAGACTGGCAGGAGCATATGAATCAATTGGGCCAAGTATTTCACATCCTGCAAACACATGGGTTGAAGGCTAATAGGAAGAAATGCCAATTTGGGCAAAGCAAGATCGAATATTTGGGGCATATGATTTCGGAAGAAGGAGTTGCTGTGGATTCCAACAAGTACAGTAGCGTGGTGCAGTGGCCGGTACCAAAGAATGTAAAGGGCGTGA